GTGCCCATCACGGACGAGCCCGAGATGGAGATCGAGATGTATTTTGACGACGCCTGCGCCTTCATCCACAAGGCCGTCGAGAACCGCATGGCCTGCATGGTAGACGCTGAACCAGCAGAAAACGATGCTTACGACGGTTCTACTACGTAGGTGCACTGTTCGCATGGCATGAGCCGCAGTGCCACAATCGTTCTGGCGTACCTCGTCAAGTGCCGCAACATGCGCCTCCTGGAGGCCCTGCAGTACCTCCGGTCGCTGCGGCGCGTCGTGTCGCCCAACATTGGCTTCATGCAGCGCCTCCTCGACCTCGAAATGGCAGTGCACCACGCGCACTCGCTCGACCTCCAAGAATACAAGAAGGACCGGTTCGCACCCATTCACGAATTGGCCATGAACCCTGCCCACAGCGCGTAAATGGCAATATCGCCGCTTTGTACGTAATGTTGTTGAATCCTATCAGATATATTGCTTTTGTACGAATACTTCCAAAGTATTTTTGGCCATAGACCGGTATTTTGAGATGGTCGCACTGCTCTCGACGTCGTTGGACGACGACGCTGCCTGCCACGTCCTCGCCACGCCCGACGACCGCCGCGCCGTGCCCCACCACCGCATCTGTAAAGCGCTTTGGCCGCTCCTCTCTCGTACGACGCCCATCCTCCTGCTGCCATCAAGTGTAGGTTCTGCCTCTAGTCGCCTTTCTCATTTCGGTCGTATCGGGCATCGTCTACGCAGTCCAGTCCAACGCGAGCAGCCACGAGACGGCTCTCTCCAACACTCAGCGCATTATCGTATCGCCCACCTCGTGCATCGCGCCACCGCCGTCGCAGCGCGTTGTTCTCTTTTGGGAGACCCAAGTCGACGGTTGCACGACAGTAAGCTTCCTGGTTCTTGCGAGCGTGCTATGCGTTTGCGAATACAGGTCCCGCCTGGCGTCACACACATTGTATTTGGCTTTGCGCTCGTGCAACAAAGTCGTGTCGTGCCGACGTTCCAAGGCGCCGAGGCGACGCTCCGCGCCTGTATCGCTGCCCTTCAAGAGTAGCATGCAGAGGCTCGTTCTGGAGGATGACGCACCCTACGTAGGCGCTGCATCGTTGTCATGGCCAGCATCGGCGGCGCGACCAACGTCGACGGTATGGCGAACATTGATGCGCCGGACGCGTTCGCGGCGTCCGCCCTCGCGCTCGTCGAGTCGTTTGGCTTTGATGGCGTTGACATTGATGACGAGACCGTGGGGTCGCAGCATGACGCTACGCGCGTCACAGCATACATGACGGCGCTGTACCGCGCGCTCAAAAGCGGCAGCAAAACGTACTACATCAGCTACGATGTGTTCGTGTTCGAAGGTAGCGTCCAACCTCCGAATGCGCTGACAGCGTGCCACGTATCTTATCCGGATAGGCGTTGCGTCCTTCTGCACCAAGGCGGTCCATGCAGCGTACTCGCGCTGTTTTGCGCCAGCGCTCTTGCCGCTGCTCGACTGGATAAACATCATGGCGTACAACGTCGATATCGACCGCACGGCCGCCGCGGTGCGCTTTCTATCTGTTTGGAGAAGTATCAACTTGATAATTACCGACAACCAGGCGTTTTATGCGAATGCAACGAGCTCAACCTTTCCCGAGTGGTTCAGCTCGCACCTCGGCGGCGACGTGGCGAAAGCGACCATTGGTATCTGCGTCGGCAGCAGTTGCGCGTACGGCGACGGCCCTAGCGACGCCGTCATCACCGACTGGACCGCGTATGCCAAGACCCACGGTGGCATGGTACTCCAACAACACTACCGAGGAGAGCGATTTCAACGGGTCGTAGATGGTGTACGCTGGCTCGTCCGACATCAACTTTGCCGCCACCGAGTCCATCATCACCGCCTTGGCGCCGCACTAGCTCGTCTTCTCTTGTTGTTTCTATGGGCTAAAGTCGAACGAATCGAACGCTGATATCCAGTCCTTCGAAAGACTACAATGCGTCAGTAGCTTCAGCACAGCTCGCTCTCACATGCGCTCTTGCTCACTCGCACGCGTTCTTGCTACGATGACGTGAGGCGCGAGCTATCTCTGCGCGGTGATGTTGGCTTCTCATTGCCAGCTTTGGATCGTGTTGCTGTCAATGCAAGCAACCTCAGGACAAGTAGACGAGCAATATACAAGCTAGAAGCAGCCATTCGTGGGACGCTGCAAGCGCCGTCGAGAGCTGCCATCGCGAGGTGGCTGCTCACTGAAGGCAGGTGCGCAACCGGTTTCGTACTTTATCCGGATGTTGGAAATAGCACCGCAACGAGGGAATTGCTCTCTCCGGAACGTTCCCACAATCCGTGCACGGCCCTTGGATTGCGATTGGTCGACATACTGGTTAAGGGAATTCAACGCCATTACAGCGCGGTGCTGAACCACCATCCCACCATCCCAGGCAGCTCGACGACGCCCGCGACGACGACGACCCATCTCGCCGAACCCGCGAGGAGTGGCATGGAGAGAGGAGACGACGAGACCGAACCTACGTCCCCGTACACGTCGATGCACTCGCCGATCCCGATCGTCGTGAACGGCGTGCGCCCCGACGAGACAAAGGAGGCGACGCCACCAAAGAGCCCGATCGCCGCCGAAGGGGCGTCGTGGTCCGAGCCGGCGAACAATCCGGCAGAGCTCGTGATGCTCACCGCCGGCGGCATCCGCTTGTACGACGAAGCCAACGAGAACGAGGTCGTGCCAGGCTACAACAAGTCGACGCGGTCGTCGTGGTCGGCGCGCGGCTCGAGCTTGGCAGGCCGGGCGCGGCCGGGGCCGCCACCGACGCGCTTCAAGCCCACAATGCACCGGTTCTCATCGCGCGCGAGCACGGCAGACGCGCAGATGGACACGTCGCCGGGCGTCGCGCGGCCGCGACCGGGCTCGCATTCGCAGCTGCAGCACAGTCGTTTCTACGCGACGCTGCCGCCGCAAGACTCGTACGTGCGCGTGTGGCGCAACTCGTTCTTTGGTGGTCGGCTCATCTTTGCGAGCTTTCTCCTCTTCGCGTGCGCGACTGCGAGCTTGGCCTTGCACAACATTGGTCATGCGTCGTCGCACTGCGTCGAGATGGACGCTGCGTACGCATTCGCCTACTACATTTCGATTGCATCGACAGCAAACCTACTGCTCATGCTACCAGCACTCTTCCCGACCACGTGCGGGCTCTACAAGGTCCAAGGCCGGCGCGTGATCCGCCGCCCGTTCCTCCAGCTCACCGAGATGCTCGTCGTCGCGCAAATGTCGCACATGCTGCTCGAGTGGATCCTTCTTATCGTAGCCATGCCCAACGCAGCGTTCTACTGCGGCCAAATCGACAGCGTCCTCGAGCGCGTCCGGTACCACGTTGCGTTCTACGCTGTGCTCCCGATCACAACCGTGCTCTACTGGCAGACAGTCCTCTTCTGCCGCTTCCGGACGCACCTCAAGCTCCAGCTCGGGTCGACCAACGACGCCAAGCACTCGGCCAACCTCCAAGGCTGGCTCAAAACGTACACCCTCTGCTTTTTCCGACGGAAGGTATCACGAAGAGCGTAGGCTGTTTACGCTGCCCGCGATCAGCCGTCGGAGCCGCAAGATCACAGAACTTCGCACGGGTCTCTTCAAGGCTGCGTCGGCCGGCGACTATGACAAGGCGCAAGAGCTCCTTGACGAGGCCACTCGCGTGCTCGGCGACGGCTTTGCGACCCGCAAGCTCTATCACGGTAGCAACGTTCACCGCATTTGTATCAAGGTATCGAGTGCGCTAAAATGGATAGAACCCCGACTGTGGCTCTATGCCTTTGCGCGGTCGCGCAAGAACCCGCTGCATGTGGCTGTCGCCAAAGGCGATCTGCGCCTCGTAGCGCTCTTCTTGCAGTACCATTTCGATGTGAACGCGCTCGACAAGGTCGCCCGCGTCAACTTCAACCTCGGTGTGCTCTTCAAGCTCACGCGGCTCTTTGTATGTATCTACCACTCGCTCGCCCGATACGATGCGAGAGTGCTAGGTCCGCACGCAAGACCACGTTCAGAGCATGAACGACTCGATCTTCTCGAGTGTTCTTGTGAGTCCGCTCCACATTGCCGTCCAGAGCGGCGAGCTCATGACCGTGCGTTTTTTGCTCGACCACGGCGCCAACGTCGATACGTTGCCACGGGCGTCCTTCTTCAAACAGTCGGCAGTGAAACCTGCCATCTACTTGGCCGACGACGTTCAGGTACATATTTTCCTCCATTTTGCCACCAATTGTCTCCATTTTTGCGATTTTTGCGATTTTTTATTGGCGATTTTTCTGCCATTTTCACACAATGTTTCTAGGTCATTCAAGTGCTCCTGGCGCATGGCACGAACCTTTTGTACGTCAGTAAGGCTTCCACCGTGCTCACGCCCTTGGTACCTCTTCTTGGCTTGCGATATGCGCCACTCATTTGCGTTTACTAGCAACGCAACATGCTCACGCACCGCGTCATGCAGTGGAGTCTGCTCGAAGAGCACGGCGGCGACGTGGCATTGACGCCCTTGCACGCGGCCGCGGCGGCCAACGACGTGGGCGCAGTCCTCTCGTACGTAAAAGGTGGTGTCCAAGTCGACACGCTGGGCGAACTCACGGCCGGTGTGCACTGCCGCACACCCTTGCACTGGGCCGCGATCACGGGCAGCCACCTCTCGGCCAAGCACTTGCTCGCGTTCGGCGCCGACGCCAACGCCCGCGACGACATGGGCCGGTCGCCGCTGCACTGGGCGGCCCGCAACAACCACGTCGACGTCGTCAACCTCCTGCTCGAGCACGAGGGCGACCCGAACGCGCATGACCGGATCGGGAACCCACCCTTGTCGGTGGCCGCGCAGACCGAAGGCGTCAGCCAAGACGTGATTGCGGCGCTTATTGCACACGGCGCCGACCTCGACTTTGCAGGTCCCTTCCTTTGACACTGGTATAAGGATCCAACCCGGATTGGTGTAGACGACGGTGGCAACACGGCGCTGCACATTGCACTGATCAACGAAAACCGCGTGACGGCCGTCTCGCTGCTCAAGTGCGGCGCCAACATCATGGCGACCAACCTCGACGGCAAGCGTGCGGTCGACTGCACGACCTCGACCGAGCTCCAATTCGCCGTCAAAAAAGAGGCTGGCAGCCGCGATGTCATGATCAGCTATACGCACGCACACGCGCCGATCGCCAAGCGTGTGCGCGACTACCTTGTCGACCACGCGCGGCTCACGTGCTGGATGGACACGATGGACCCGAGCGGCATTGGTGGCGGCGCGGTCTGGCGCGAAGAAATCGCACGCGGTATCTCTTGGTCTACGATCTTATATATCTCATAAATTTCGACTAGGTATCTTCAACGCCAAGGTGGTTGTCGCCGTGGTCTGCGATGGCTACGCGCGCTCCGAGTGGTGCCTCAAGGAGCTCTCGTTTGCCAAGATTTCGAAAACGCCGGGTACGTGGCGTTGCTCACGAGTCGAGTTTGAGACGACATGCGGGTGTAGCGGTCGTCCTCGTCGTGGATCCGAATGGCATGTCGAGCGAGATCGAGCGCCTCGTCCCCAAGCAGTTTATCTTGCCGTTTCCAGTCTCGGACGCGATGCTGGACGACCCAACGCTGTGGGCAACGTCGTTTGACGCTGTCCTGGGGCCCGTCCGGGACGCGCTTCGCCAGGCCGAACCGCCGCCGCTGTACCCCCTCTACAACTTCGATGTGCACGCGCCGGCGCGCCGCGTGTTCATCTACTACACGGCGCAGGACCCGTCGTTCCTCAAGCGCATTGAAGTGAGCGTCCACGCCAAAGGGTTCGTACCGCTCCTGGCGTCGCAGCCATTGGATACCATGGACGTGCGCGAAGAAGCGGACGTGATGACGTCGTCGTCGACGGTCGTCTTCCTTGTGCGCACGGACGAGCTTGGAAGAAACGAAGATGCATGGCGGAATCTGCAAAAGAGCTACTCGATCGCCGCGACGCACGGCAAGACGATCGTGCCCGTGTTTGTCGGGCCGCAGTGCTTGGATTTTAGCAAGCTCTACTCACTCTGCCGGACGCCGTGGCACCCATTTGTGGCCCAGCGCGGGTTCGAAGCCAACTTTAGCCACCTCACAAAACGCCTCAACGACATGCTGCCGATGGGACTGGCGCTCGTGAGCAAGCGACCGCGGTCTGGCTCGGACACGGTGTACGTCACGATGCCCTTCTCGCGCAAGAGCGACCCGTCGTTCGTCTCGGCGTTTGTGTAGCGTGTCGACGCGCTTTCTATTTAGGTGCTCGCGTACTAGTACATGTATATCTTCTACGACACATCTTGACGCTTGCTGGCCACGGTGCTGACAGCGCGGCTTGGGCGTCTTACCATGAAACCTCCATGCACATGCGGTCCAACGACTGCCATGGACTCTAGGCAGCATGGTTCTACGGCTAGGCTAGGCGAAACTCTCCATATGGCTGGCTACTTGGCGCGTCGTGCGTCCGCGCTGCTCGGCGGACCGTCGCGCCGCCGCTGGCAGCGCAGATTTTGGTGGCGCTGTGTGATTGGCTATAAATCTGTTAAGTACGCTCTTCGGCAATTAAAAAGGTCAATACAAAAATCAAGTTGAATAACGATAATTTTATAGCGGGACCGGTGCTGGACGCACTTAATCGGGCGCCAGGCCTTGGGTCTGTGTGGTATCTCCAGTCAGTAACAACATCCGTTCGAACGGCAGCAAGCTCCATGGCGGCCCCGGCGCTTTCGATCGACACGCAGCATGATGACATGATCGTACGTAGAAGAGGCTGCTGATGCTCTATGCATGGCTCATGCGTGCGACGTAGCACGATGCGCAACTGGACTACTACGGCAAGCGGCTCGCTACCTGCTCGTCGGACCGGACCATCAAGGTCTACGACGTCACGGCCGACGCCCAGCACACGAACGAGCGCGTCTTGGCAGGGTACAACGCCAATGGTAACGTTACGATATGCTAAGTGATGCGTAGCCACGAAGGCCCCGTGTGGCAGATCAGCTGGGCGCACCCTAAGTTTGGCACGCTCCTCGCGTCGTGCTCGTACGACGGCAAGGTCATCATCCACAAAGAAGCCCAGCACGGTCAATGGTCGCAGATCCACACGCATGCGTTCCACCAGTCGTCGGGTACGACGCGCCTTCGTACCGACTTGACGCGCTCATGCATCCATTGTAGTCAACTCGATCGCGTGGGCGCCGTACGAGTATGGGCTCAGCCTCGCGTGTGCGTCGGCGGACGGCAAGGTGTCGATCCTCACGCACTCGGCGGGTACGCCTCGTCATGTTTACCACCCAACGACGCTCATGCAACTCTTTTAGTGGAAGGCTGGACGACGAGCTACTTTCAGGACAGCACGCTCGGTGTCAACGCGGTGAGCTGGGCGCCGTACCACAGCCTCGGTCTCCAGGGCAAGCGCGTCGTGACGGCGTCTTGCGACAACACGGTCAAGGTCTGGGCCCTCGCCGATGGTGCGACCGAGTGGGTCAAGGAGGATTTGCATCAGTCGCAGCCGCACCACAGTGACTGGGTCCGCGACGTGGCGTGGGCGCCGTCGACTGGCGCGCCGTCCAACCTCATTGCGAGCGCATCGGAAGATCGCACCGTGTGCATCTGGACACAGGAAGAGACGCCGTCGGGCGAACCCTCCAAGTGGACCAAAGAGCTCTTGCACACGTTTGAAGCGCCCGTGTGGCGCGTGAGCTGGTCCGTCACGGGCAACGTCCTCGCCGTCTCGACCGGCGACCACAAGGTGTCGCTCTGGAAGGAGTCGCTCGACAAGAAGTGGCTGCAGATCTCGAGTGTCGACGAAGTCGGCGCGTTGCACCAAGCGACGCAGTAGTCGGTCGACGCACCGTCGTCACACAGCCTCTTGCAATACATCCGTTTCCCACTCTTATCGCCAGGCACAAGCAGAATACGATGTCCTTACGCAAGGCTTAGTGCTGCATAAGCGCCGCTGTCTCGAGCGTCCGCGCGCGCGCAAGCTTCATGCAGCGCGTGAGCGTCTCGCCCGCAATGAGGCTCCCGCCTGCCTTGTACACGCCGCAAAACTAAACATGGCATGAGAGATGGAGAGAAGGTGGAAGCGTACCTCGCCGTTGGTGTTGTAGAGAATCGTGACGGTGCCCCGGAGCACGTCTTCTTCCTGCGCCGTCGGGTCCAGTAGCACATGGTCCTTGTACAAGCCAAAGGTCGTCGGGACAAGCGTCTGGTGCACCGGCAACGGCAGCCCGTCCGTGCCCTCTGCAAGGTGACATATATGAGAGACTGGTGGAGGCGGAGGATGGAGCAAGAAGCGTACCGGGGGCGAGCGAGACGACAAAGTCGGACGACACAGTGATGGCCGGGAACGTCAAGTCGCGGAGCGCCATCATGGTCGCGAGGAACGCCGTGTCCAAGGCGTTGCCGTCGTGGTCGAGGAAGAGCACGCTAATGATGAGCTTCCACGCGCACTTGCCGCTCTCAATGCAGAGATCGCGGAGGTTGATGACCTGCGACCTGGACGACGCATATGAGCCATATCGCCATGGACGAGCGAGCATCGTACCCGATGAGCGTCCGACTCAGAAAGCTGCTCAAGCTCTGGGCTTCGTCGGTCGTCCGCTGCGTCGAGAACTTGCTTTGGCACACGCCCGTCAAAAACACTTGCAGATCTACGCACGCATGACATGAGGGCGAGAAGTAGAGCGATGCAGAGACGCACCGACTTCGCCTTGGTCGGGCGTCGCGATGGCAGGTGTCCCGACGGCGAACTGGACCGTGGCGAGCGCGCTCGAGTGGCCGAGCTTGACAAGGCAGGCGCCGGCCTTGGTGCGGCTCATGCTGACGGGGCGAGCGTCGAGGAGCTTGCGCGCGTCGGGCCGGACGCCGCTGTCGAGGCAGCGACTGACGTAGTCTTCGGCAAAGAGCTTCTCATACAGCTCGGTGCTGCAGTGCATCGAGGTCGCGGCCATGCTGGTGATGATGGAGTCCTGTGATCTTGCTCGAACTGTTGGCTGGTGTTGGGGACACGGGGGGTCTAAAACCACAAGAGGGTACCACATTATGTTGACAATAAAAATAGTTTTAAACAATAAGGTTTTAAAATGTTGTTTTGCCCACAAATCAATTAATGAATGGGTCCTCCTACTCCGACCCCGACACGAGGGTGGACACGAAACGTCGTGGTCGGTCGAGGTTGCACTTGCTCGCCACGACGCGCCCGTCATGGCCCATCCGTGACCATCTACTGCTGCCATTTCAACGCAGCCTAATGCTCGAAGCATTGCTAGCGCCAGATGATTCTTCTGTTGACACTGGCGAGGCGCTCCTCCGACCACGGAGGCCTTCTACGCGCCTCGAATCCAAGTCGCTGGCAGCCTTGCGCAACCTGTACCGCTCGTTGTAGCACCAACCCGGCCAAACATGATGGGCTCCACGGAGGCCAAGCGGCGCGACTCGATCACCAAGCCACCACCCAAACACCAACATAAATGTAAAGAAAACGATGAGATTCACAGTTGATGCATCTGTCGCGCGGCAAAGCCACCATTCGGTCTCGACGTTGGAGCTTTTCGTACCACGTTGCGTGCGCGACAGTCACGCTGGCGATCCTCTGCACCCGCGCGCCAATTGCCCGTCTTCCTCGCACAGCCGCCAACGGTGCTGACAATCAAGTGCCCGTCGGCCACCAAGACGCGCTGGACCCAGATGGCCAAGCGGCGCTCCACGATCGCGAAGTTGGCGCCACCGCCACGAGCACGCGCGATATGAACTTGTGACCACGGCGGCAACGTGGCGATCGAGTTGCGCCGCTTGGCCTTCATGTCAAGAAGGCCAAGCGGCGCCTGAGCGTCGGCACCGTCAGCGCCTGCGCGAGGAAGACGGAGCAGTTAGCGCGCGGGTGCATGAAGATCGTCAAGTGACTGCCGCCGCGGCAG